CAAGTGCATGTATATTAGTATGACTGACACGTTAACACAACACACCTGACGATCTCAAGAAATGGAACAACATAATAGTCAGGTGTTTACCCTCACCTCCATCCTACAGCTCAGAGGACGATGACCTCCTTCAGGTTAGGTCAGATAACTCAACGTTTCTCAGTACAACTCTCAACAGTAAGTCAGGCCCCTGGTCAAATGCAGTAGTCCAGGTGTTCGTATTTACTCGTAGTGTTCTGCCTCCCACTGCCTCTACTGAGATGGCGACTGAACACCTTCCTGGGCGCCTTAAGAGACTTTACTGGAGTCCTAGACCTCGGCTACACTGAGGGAGCCAACCAGTGTTGTGTCCTCACAGCACCAGGCCCTGGACAAGTTCCTGACAAACACTCCGGCAGGGAAGGCTCCGTCGTGGTAAATATTGCCTCAATCATCCTCGGGGAATTGTTACGTAAACAGGAGAATTGTCTGTCCTCAAACCACCAGTGTCTGCCATGCTGAACACTTCATGAAGAACAACATCGACCTCAGCACCAGGCCAAGACACCAGCCAGGCTTTGATTTACCTGCAGTCTGTTACTAGATACCGGTACACACTTTTGTGCATAACATCATGATTCTCTCACCCGATAATGATTTAAGTTAGTAAATAAAACAAAACAATTTGATACTTACAGAAATCATGAAAAATCAGAAAGATTAATAACATTACATTTTGTTTCTATGAAAGAAACTGAGGACAAACATTGGTTCCTCTTTCGTAACAAACTGTTTGTTGCTTATAACTTGAGCTGTATAAACTCCAGATTATTCATGTATATGATAATAAGCCAAATATCTGTAATGAACAACAATCTATGAAGGCATCTAACGTACATGAAATAGCAAATGACATTCTAAAATCATAATGTATTACTTTAATGCCGAAACTAAAAATAATTAATGACGCACAAACAACAGAAAGTGGAGCTCGGGATCAAACATTAATGTAAACACGAATTTTTTTATTATGAATTCTTCCCTTAAGAAGATGGATAACATGATATGGACCTGAAAAGTTTCCAATTGAACGAAAAGTAATATTTACTTTGTTCGTACAATTAAAACAATATAGTTCTTGCTACATCAGCGATCATTGTTCACTACCGGTAGCGGCCATAGTGCGGTGCGTTTACATAAAACTTACGATAAGTGAACGAGTAAAACTGACCAGCAACAGAGACTCAGTTGATGTACAGAGTCTAAAGATAGACTCGACCCGGTTTAAATTTAAATTGAAGAATTGATCTGGGGAATCGGAGACATAATTGAGGCATATCCGCAGCCTGGTGGACGAGCACACACATGTGACTGACCTTATGTTGCTTGTATCAGTCAGGGGTCAACATTCTCAAACAGTGAATCAAACTGTTCTTGTATTTTCTCGTTTCCAATTTTTGAGGGCTAAGAGGACTACCACTCAGACAAGTAATGCAGCGAGAAGATACTCCTTAGCTCCTACAGTGTGGGGTAAGTACAAGGGCCTCAAAATTAAAGATAAACTTGTGGTTCCTGGACGCCTGGTGGTGTAGCTGCGGCAGGACCACAGTGCACCACATAAAGAAATCAAGAGACAAGCTGAAGGCGTACATGGTGAAGCAGGACCAGCCAGTACAAATTTCAGTGAGAGGAAGAGGGCGGCGGGTGCCAAGCAGCGGGAGGCGGATAACAGTGTTTACAAACAGCAGGGAGCTGACCCGCCTCTTTACGCTGAGTTCACTGTTTCTTTCGCTTTAACTCTTTTATGTTGCACGAGTTCGTTATGTCATCATCGTTCACGACATGTAAGATAAAACCTCAGTTGAATATAAGGTTATGACTAAGTTAATTCATCAGTAGCCTGTGTGATGGTCCTATATAATAACAAACTTCTCAGGAGGAAGTTAGTAAGGTGACGTCAGTGAGTCAACCTTGTAGCAACACACAGGTATGATGGAGCATCGTGAGTATGTTTTCCTCTCTGCTCACTTAAAAGATGGAAGGTAAACTTTATATTATGCTGCCACTAAACATACTTACATGTTAATAACTCGACCTATTAATATATAATACCGGAGAGCCTCGAGGCCAAGTAACACAAGAATGTCGTATATTTAAAGTCGATACATTGTGTGTTCCAGCACTGGGCTGTACCTGATTGTCGTACACTGATATTATCAAGGGCATAAAATATTTATATATCATTTGGAAAAGAAAACATCGGGGAGGTAGTCCGGTGGAGCTGCCGATATTGCCTTGTTTACCTAACGGTCACAACATGTAGTAGTGGCCACCTGGGGATAGAAGCCCCACGGCCATCACATGTAGTTGTGGCCACCTGGGGATAGAAGCCCCACGGCCATCACATGTAGTTGGCCCACCGGGGATCGGTGGTAGAAACGGTACCGCTCTTGCCTCGCGAGATGTCACAGGTTCGATTCCGTGGAGTTGTTGGACTTCTTCCTAGACCCCATTAGTCCCTGTTCACCTAGCAGTAAGTAGGTACCTGTTGTAAGTCGAAAGTTGCGAATTCGTATTCAGGGACAAGTTGTTGGAGCTTCCAATAACTTGATGACATAAACCACTGACTCTTCAGGCTTTACACCCTTAACTCATGAGACATAAAGGCAAGCATGAACTTAGCATGCTTCCCTGTTGGGAGCTGTAAACGCTTCTGCGCTTCACCTTACACAAGGATGTAGGGAGTGCCCAACAATAATAATAATAAAAGTTGTGGCCACCGGGGGATAGAAGCCCCACGGCCATCACATGTAGTTGTGGCCACCTGGGGATAGAAGCCCCACGGCCATCACATGTAGTTGTGGCCACCTGGGGATAGAAGCCCCACGGCCATCACATGTAGTAGTGGCCACAAGGAGAGAGAAGGCCCGCGACGAGTTGATGGGGCCGCGATCATTATGTTATGCCTTGTGCTTTAGGTCAGCACTATTGTTGCCGGCACAGGTTCAGCAGGTGTACAGTCCCGGACGCTATCATTCCCTGAAGTCAGCTGTAGCCTGATACTGGTCGAGGGTTGCCTAAGCTTGTCGGTCTCTTAAGGGCAGCGCGGACACAGCGTACTGCATAATAAAAACCTTTAGTTCACAAGGAGACAGTGTGGCCAACACTACACTTGACAGCTGCGTGAACTGGGGGCTACTCCAGGCGCGAACCATCGACTCTTAGGGTAGGAGCCAAGCGAGTACTGTAACCGTTCACCCACCACATCCAGTTTATTAACAAAACCTAATCAAAATATATATCCTTAATTCCTACTGTGTGTGCGTGTGTGTGTGTGTGTGTGTTTAACCATCAAGTGCCTGTAACTGTCGTAGTCAGGATTTAATAGCAAACAAATAAGACTTGATTCCGGTAACATTTATACTCATCATTTGTTCAGATACTAATTGTACAAAGAGAAATACATTTTTATTTTCTATCTCAGTTTCAGTTGTTGTTTTTCCTGATGACCAATACCATCGTTACCTAATTACTAATTGTCTCGTGTCCATCACTTTACACCACAAAATGATTACAAATAACGTTCAAACTTTTGGGTAAATGTCAACACCAGAATTAAAACATGTGTTTGTATCCTGTGAAGCTGATCTGCCTAAATGAATTCTTTATCTTGTATGAGTTTAATAGATTCAAACAGAAAACAAACAAAATATTTAGTGACTCTTACGGTATATATTTCTGAATGCTTTGGTTCACTTATCCGTAAAATAATTAACTCTTTAACTGACAATCTGAAAATTCATATTGAGGTTTAATGGCTAATTCTCCCGAGTATGCGATCTAGTTTTTATTTATGTTCTAATTAAACACAAGAGAGAGATATTATCCAAGCGCCATGATCAAATTTGCGCACCCTGAAGACACGCGACGCAGAAGGTTTGGAACTGAAGGGGGTTGTTTGTTGGAGGAAGACCTATCTGTAGGAGGAGTTCCACGTGGTGTTAGTGTGGAGAATAAGAGTCTTTCAGGAGGGTGAGGATACTAGGTCCGCCTCAGCCAAACCCATATGTTGAGTTCCTTCAAGACCTCCACCTCAGCCAAACCCATTGTTCCCTCATAAGTAACTATAAGATAAAATTAAGATTAAAACCCTTAAAAAAAATCCTGATACTTTAATAAAATATATATCACTGTTTTATAAGGTGCTTAGGTATCGTTAACTATAGTCCAGAAGATTATCGGTAACTATATAATGGGGCTTCTTAAAATTAATTCAATGTTATGGTACAAAGATTCTTTCTGTGTTTTTTCATACAGGTAAGAAAAATGTATTGACTGGAACATCGGGATCATCATTGTGGGTTTTTTGGTAGTCCTTGTTCTTCTATTTTCGGTGGGCTAACCGTGCCACCGACTTGTTATTGTCGAAAACACTTGTCAAACTCGCCCCCTCCTACACGAAAAATTTCCCCGGTATTTTGTTTGATACATCAGACCACAAACAAATATATACAAGATATTCTTCTATCTTTTTTTTTTTCGTTCACATAAGCCTCCCAAGTTGAGAATGTCTGCCAGGCTGAGTGTGTCTGCCAGGGTGAGTGTGTCTGCCAGGCTGAGTGTGTGTGCTAGGGTGAGTGTGTCTGCCAGGCTGAGTGTGTGTGCTAGGGTGAGTGTGTCTGCCAGGCTGAGTGTGTGTGCTAGGGTGAGTGTGTCTGCCAGGCTGAGTGTATCTGCCAGGCTGTATGTTAACGCCAGGCTAGACTTGTCAACTCAACTTCTCTAATAATTTTCATAGGCACCAAACGTGAACTCTAGCGAATAATAAAAAATGTGCAAAATGCTTCGTTGGGGTCAAGTTACCGCCTGTTGTTACGTTTATTTGAAGACACAAGGGTCACAGGTCAAGGTCAGTATAAGCCAAGAAACTAATTATGCAAATGCAGTTTCTCAGGGTCACGGTGTCACAGGTCAAAGGTCAACGCAACTAATTCACTGGGGGTTTTTTCTTCCTCCGACAGTCGAGCCTACAGTACACGTGCCAAGCCAACTGGTGGGGACGCCTCTGGGATCTGATTTGTTCCTCTCCTGCAAGGTGGAGGCCTACCCCAAGCCCATCACCTTCTGGCGCAAGAACAACGACTTCATGATCCTAGACGGGTGAGTTGTGATGTAATGTTGGTTGAGTAGCTAAGATAACTATGTGAGAATTATTCCTAAGATAACTATGTGAGAATTATTCCTAAGATAACTATGTGAGAATTATACTTAAAATATTGAAAAAAAATCTGTCAAATATTCAAGACAATTATGATAGAATTTGTCGAATATTTAAGATAATTATACGAGAATTATACTTACAATAATCATGAGAAAACAAATAAAACTTAAGTTAATTTAAATAAAAACTGTCAAACAATTATGATAATTAAGATAGAATGTGAAAAGGTTAATAAACGTTACAGAGAGAGAGAGAGAGAGAAGAAGGGTAAATACAAGGGAATTTAAGATACAAATTAGAAAATAAACAAATATCCCAGGTAACAACAACAACAACAACAACAACAACAACAACAACAACGTAGGAATTTGTGTTGGAAGATTTTATTGTTATTATTATTATTATTATTATTATTATTATTATTATTATTATTATTATTTATGAAGTACAGGTGAGAGGAAAACCACACCTGAGAATGGTAATTTACTAAGGGTTAAAGGTCACATATTTGAGTGTTTTGGCTCCATTAATATCTTTCAATACAACCACTGTACATGTATAGAACATTCTAATAACGCCATCTATAGGTAAAGAATATTCTAATAACACCATAGGTAAAGAACATTTGAATTACGACATCTATAGGTAAAGAATATTCTAATAACGCCATCTATAGGTAAAGAACTTTCTAATAACGCCATATATAAAGTAAAGAACATTCTAATAGCACCACAGGTGAAGAACATTCTGATAACGCCATCTATAGGCAAAGAACATTCTAATAACGCCATCTATAGGTACAGAACATTCTAATAACGCAATCTATAGGTAAATAAAATTCTAATTATACCATCTATAGGTAATTAAAATTCCAATTATACCATCTATAGGTAATTAACATTCTAATTATACCATTTATAGGTAAAGAACATTCAAATTATACCATCTACAGGTAAAAAACATTCTAGCTACATCTATAGGTAATTAACACTCTAATTATACCATCTATAGGTAAATAACATTCTAGCTACATCTACTTTAAAGAGAAATTTACATTACAGTCACATAAAGAACAAGTAGCGAGTTTTAACGCCATCTATGAGTTATAAACAAACACTAAATTAAAAGACCCCCTCCAGCCTCCTCCTCCTCCTTCCCCCTCTCCATAGTTTACGTGAATGTCACAAGAAAAAAAGAAAGATTGAAAACTAAAGATCAAACAAGAACAAACAAAAGCTACACTTGCCCTTAAACTTGACTTAATCAAACAACAACAATGCTTGGTGCGCCATCTAGGGTTAAAAGAAACAGTTTGTAAAGGAGTTGAAAATGTGTGGTTGGTGAAAAAGAGTTTAAGGTTTCGTAAAAGACCACTCCTGTGAGGCTTGGAGGAGGAGAGGCTCTCTCTCTCTCTCTCTCTCTCTCTCTCTCTCTCTCTCTCTCTCTCTCTCTCTCCGTCATCAGGAACTTTGCTAAAGTCGTGTGTTCCTCTGGCAAATAATCCCTCTTTCCCCCTCTAGTCTTTCATATAGTGAAGCCTTCATATAACGGATTCTCTCAATATAGTCCGCTATATGGGGGTTTCACATATAACGGACCCTCGATATAACGGACTTTCATCTCTTTATAGTTCGATATATGGGGGTTTCACATATAACGGACCCTCGATATAACGTTAGATGGGAGTTCCATATCAAATGAACCTTCTATATACCGGATATTTTACTTATATAGTTAACACCACCTAATATAACCCAGACAATTCTAAAATGTTTGACCAATATGTTCTCCAAATTCCTACTAGGTTATCCACACGTTAGTCTATATAACCTGTGTCTTTCTTAATTCACATTCTGTGGACATAATACAGAATGATAGGACACTGTGGACATTCTGTTTAATCGTTCTCACTCACCTGAACACAACAGTATATACCTGGCCGTCCACCACTAGTTAATATTTTGCCTGTTGGCTGGTCAGAGTGTATACTTTGAGCCACATCCCTGTCAATATGTCACCTCACAGATCTATACTTTGAGCCACATCCCTGTTTATATATCGCCTCACAGACCTATACACTGAGCCACATCCCTGTCAATATGTCACCTCACAGACCTATACATTGAGCCACATCCCTGTTTATATATCGCCTCACAGACCTATACATTGAGCCACATCCCTGTCAATATGTCACCTCACAGATCTATACTTTGAGCCACATCCCTGTTTATATATCGCCTCACAGATCTATACATTGAGCCCCATCCCTGTTTATATATCGCCTCACAGACCTATACATCAAGCCATATCCCTGTCTAATCACCTCACAACATCTCTATTCCTCGCCCTTGCTTCTATCTGTCTATAGTATATATATATGTCTGTCACTTAATTGCTATGTGAATGCATGGTGTTCTGTGTGTTTAGCTGGTCTCTGTGTTACCTAAAGCCGTCTAACTCATATTATGGTCTTAATTTGAGGTCCTTTTTCTCATCATGTAGGTAGACCACTAGACCAAGTAAAAATTTCACCTATGATAAAAAGAAGAAAATCAGAATTACCGTCAATTATAATATTCAACCCTTAGCTCCTTCCTCTGTCAATCAAACAGACAGTAACAAACACCCTCCCCCCCTCAACTGGAAGTACTGTCACCTTCTACCGTGTGTAAATATAAATCATTATAGCCTTCCATTTTTTTTTCCATTTCTTCACAGACCAAAATACAAAGTCGGTGAGACATCAAGGTCGTATCACAGTAATATGTCTCTGATAATAAGAGAGGTTCAAGCATCAGACATAGGTACTTACATCTGTGTAGCTCGGAACTCTATCAACCAAGCAGAAGGTCAGATCAGAACCTATGAGATCGATCCTCCGGTTACACACAGGCCTACGACTTCTAAGGGACCACCTGGGGGTGATTCTCTCTCCACTGCTCTCAACCATAGTGCCAAGTCTTCAGGTGAGTGTTCCCTAAATTGTTTCAGCATTATCATTATTATTGTCATCATCATCATCACCACCATTATCATCACCACCTCCATCAGACATCACACAAAATAAAGAGCGGCAGAAACGACTGAATGAAAACGAATGCAAAGAAAAATTGTGTATGTATGTATGTATGTATGTATGTATGTATGTATGTATTCCGCTCATTCAGGTACACTACTGCCTCCTGGACGCCCAACCACTAGCCTTACATCTTCCCTCTGATGCTCACTGTGTCCTCCCCTTCATCTCTGACTCATTCACTCCTTTAACAAGCTTTCACATCTCATTAACTCAACATGTCGTCCTACCCTTCACGGTAGTTTTATAATTTATCTCATTTTCTCGGTATTTTTGTGTTTTTCATCTAGTTTAACTTATATTTTGCAAATGTGTGTATCTGGTGCTTTTCAAGATTGTTAAATTCTCATAAGATTGCCAGTAAAAATATTAGTATGTCAATAAACTGTATCAATATATCAGCCAATGTCCCACTCCATCGCTTCCTCTCCTCACATTGTTCATGTCAATCTCACACCTGCCTCATCTTTCATCCCGTAGGTCTACACAAGAATCAGTTCGATGACGACTTCAAGTACAAGACGACGGTGGACTCGTCACACACGCCACACAACAAGGGCAAGCGTAAGGACGTGAACCACTACAACAGTGTCGAGGCCACCAACACGAGGAAGCCCGCCCTACGGCCCGACGTGTTGTCCCGGGGTGTTGTGGAGACGGCACCCAGCCCCGCCTCCCTCACTCACCTCTACATAGTGCTCCGCCTTGCTCACTTGTGGTTTTAAATGGTTGTCCGACTACTAGATATATATAAATACTTATGTGTAAGCTAAGCGACCTATGTTACTCGTGTATAAGAGATGCATGTTTTGTTATTTGTTTGCGTTCTTCTCATTGCGTTGATCTATGTGCTGTATATCATGACATAGTTACGTGTTCATTAACATATCCAAGGCGTTACCTCAATTAGATTCCATGAGAAACCTTTTGTAAGTGTGAAGGAATGCGTCGTCATGGCCTCGGGTGTCTCACTATCGCTGCGAGGCACATTATCTCTCATCTTCGATGTGCTCTTGTAGCGATTTCTTTATCCAATGACAAAAAAAACAATCATTGCTTACCAGTAACTAATATTTTTGGTGGCAGTAAACTGAACTGTGTAGCACATGACTCTGGTGTTGAGAAGTGGAGAAGTGTTTAGTGAGGGTGGTGGACGAGGGACGTGGTGCTAGCACAGCCACCCTCACTCGCAGTTAACAATTCTCTTAGAACACTGTTAAAAGTCCTGCAAAGTGAACAGTCTCGCTAGTGGGTCGCGGACAACTAAGACGCTTTCATTGTTCGTCATTCATGATGTGTGTGTGTAAATAATCTTCCATTAGTGAATATAATTTGAAACTTATAGTCTTAAGGCATTTATGAACTTGTCCTGTATGTGTGTAAAAAAAATAATCATGAATATTCTTGGCACAGTGACTGATGAACAAGTTGGCTGTTAGCGTGAGAGTCGCCTAACACACCACTGGACCGGCGAACACCACTCATCCACTCGCGCTAGTCTCTCTTCCTTTTTTCTATCAAACTATAAACAAATAATAGGAACACAAAACCAGAAGACCCAAAGCTCACATTGTTTCTACACATAACCGTCTTCTGTGAGTGTTTAGCCATGACAAGGTTCCTCAAATTTCTATCTTTGTACACAAGTTTTTTTTTTCTAGTGTCCTGTTGGCGAAAGATTAATAACAATGTGCATTATCCTCTATTAAAACCAGCTCACAGAACAGAATTATTAAGAAGATATATATATATATATATATATATATATATATATGAAACAGGTAGTGCAGATTAAATACCCGCTGAGTGTCCCTTGTAATGCTAACAAGTGCAGACATAGGCAGACATGGGAAGATTTATTCATTACTCAGACATGTCCATTTCCTCTCTCAATAACCTTCTGAAGACGTAAAGAAAATATTACCCATAAGTTCTTTTACAAATGTTACCATGAACAGTACCAGTGACGCGGTCTACCTGGACTCTGTGTGTGTGTGTGTGTGTGTGTGTGTGTGTGTGTGTGTGTGTGTGTGTGTGTGTGTGTGTCCTCTACTCCAATGGCAGAAGGAAAAACTCGTTCATGCTGTGGACTAAAGCACCAAAGTTGGCACACTTGTTCTGGCAACACTGAGGCTATAAGACAGGAGGTGCCCGAGACAGGTCACCCAGGTCAAGGTCAGGTCACACTACAGTTATATAAGGTGGGTGCCAGTGCCTTCTTGAACAGCCTACAGTATATTCAAAAGATGGTTTGTCATGTTTGTAAAATTTCTCCTTTGCATGACTCCAAGATGGCTGCCATATTGTACCATCTATGAACGGACAATCAATAAACTTCAACAGATCTTCAAAACATCTCAGAATGTATGGCACTATAAGCTCCTCTTTCAACATAACTTACGAAATACAAAACTAAAAAAAATAAACAACTCAATAAACACACAAAACTGGAAAACCGATGTTGGTACAAGACTCAGAGACAAAATAACCTACTGAAACAAACCCTAAGTTAAAATTTCCCAGGTTAAGATAGACAAGTTGTTTACATAATCCAGATGGGAAATTTTTAATCAAAGAAAATCTATATATCGCAAGGTTGTCTTTCTTAATATAAAAAAAAATTGTTGCCTAAGATATATTCAAAGACGTAATGAAGGAGCCAAATGCATTAAAACAACAAACTCAATATTTTAAAGAGTTGTATTTTAAGAAAGGAAACCAAATGTAATTCCCCGCGGCGAGGCGTGATAGGAATATTTTAAGTCGTTCTATTGGTTCTGAATATATAGGGAGAGATGATTCCAGTGTGGAGGAGAGAGAGATGGCAAGAGGTGTTAAGTACGTCACTCCTGGAATACTGGAAGATGTTGTCTCTCTCTCTCTCTCTCTCTCTCATATCGAACACTTCCTTTTTCCTCTACACAGTTTTAAGATAATTAAAGAGGATATATAAAATTACGTGTGTGTGTGGGGTGTGTTTCTTTACGCCATTTGCCTCTGTCTTCCCAGCAGCAATTGGAAACCTGGATGTTAATCCATATGCGGATCGTATTCCGGGTTAATGGTTAGCCAGTGCAGTTGGCGAGCTGTCCGGTCTTCTCAGACCATTCCGGGACACCGTGTCATGCAGCTCGTTAACTTAGGGTGTGGTTGTTGTGTTTGCGACAGCTTTTACACCTTAACAAATTCACGCCTAGGAGGCCCTTGGGCCGGCCATCCTCGATTTCGAGGGGCTTCCATTATTATACAAAGTCATGCAGATGTATTGAAAAAAAAATAATATGAATACACTCAATAAATCAGTGAATAGTGACCTGCCTTACGCTACGAACCTAACTTAGACCAAGCGAAACTAGTAAAACCTAACATAACCAAACCTAACCTCACCAAACCTAACATAACCAAACCTAACATAACCAACTCAAAATGACAAGAAAATTAATGAAACTAATGACACCAAACCTTTTTCAATTAATTATTATTTTTCCAAGATTATGAAGCACTTGTGTGACAGTGTTCACAGCTGGCGACGAAAATACCAATAAAAAAAAATACTCAGATTTAAAACTGATTTACCGGAGCTAAAACACATTAGTATTAAATAATATCGCATAAAATCAACTAATTTCTAACTTTATTTTTAGATTATTTTATGATCATCAGAAGAAAACACAACAAAAATACATAAAGAATTCGAGGAGAAACTTCAGTGCAATTTATACATCAACTTCCAACTTCCTTTTATGAAACTTTGCCAAATCACATCAGGGAAATTTGAGAGACACTCCGAGACGTATTGTGTGATAATATTCTCTATTCCTTAATACACCTTTTTGGGCACTGAATCGCCCAAGAAAATAACACTTTATTTTAGCATTACACTTATTTTTATTGTTAGTGTGTGTGTGTGTGTGTGTGTGTGTGTGTTGAAGGGTCAGATATAGTAGGTTTTTAAGAGCCTTTTAGATGCACGCATACACACACACACACACACTATTAACGTCTCCTGCACACGCATACACACACACCATTAACGTCTCCTGTACACACGCATACATACACACTAACGTCTCCTGTACACACACATACACACACACTATTAACGTCTCCTGTACACACGCATACACACACACACACACACTATTAACGTCTCCTGTACACACACATACACACACACTATTAACGTCTCCTGTACACACACATACACACACACTATTAACGTCTCCTGTACACACACATACACACACACTATTAACGTCTCCTGTACACACACATGCACGCAATATTAACGTCTCTTGCACACAAACACGAACAATTGATGTTGTTTATTTGGGAGAGGAAAAATATACATACCTTTATAATTCTGTTCATTATTACCTTCAAGAAACACGAGAGAAAATGTTCCTGAAGCAGTTAGCTGTGTGAGTACAACTTATCTTATTTAGACGAAAAAACTTGTAAAAATATATTGACAACTTAAGCTATTACCTACAAGAAAGGATAAACAACTAAATTAACAGGTTATAGTCAACCTACAACACAACATATCTAGTCAATAATAACAAATTGATGAGTAACAACCTCGTATGATATCTTCTGTTATATTTGAGTTCCCATCATCAAGATATTATTACCAGCAAATCATGTCCATAAACACAAGCTGAGGGGGGGGCATCACTCGTCAACACCACACAGTAAGAGAGACAGAGATGTAATCATTATAAAAATATAGAAGATAGGAGTTTTCTATCTGTTATTTACACATAAGACATTAATCCTATGAGAAATATCAATAGAGTGTGGGCGAAATATACCGTAGTTCTGTACCGAGGCTCAAACTCTTCAGATAAGTTACACAAAAATTTAGAGAAATATACTATGAATTTCTGAAGTACATTGCGTAGATACATAATGAAAGATTGTAATTTGGTGCGTTATGTAAAATCTCACGTTAAATTACACTCTTGAAATATCCAGTGATGATATAATTACGTCATAACCTCAGCTGTTTCACGCAAAACTACATGACACAAACAATAGATTAAAGCGGTTGATTCGTACATTACATTACGATACAGCAGATATTTAAAAAAAAGCCCAGATGACACATATACAGTTACATTACAGCAATTAGTTCATATCTGTAATTTCCTCCTCGGTATAAGTACTTCCCTGGACAACAGTGATGACGAAGGTGTGGCTCCTATCTTTAGCGATCATCAATTATGTAACAGTCTCTCAATAACACAGGTGCTGGTTGTCTCGCCACGTTCACCTGTACAGTACTTCACGCAACACCCGGTACAGACTGGTGCCCGAACCTTCATACAGTAGATCCCACCAGTATATGTTCACTTGAAGTCGAGGATCCGATATGTCCCCGAACAGTCTGAGTCCTTTCCTTGCCTGAATACCATGACCACAGACGCCACCAACTACCCTTGTTGGTGGGAGTTTCACGAGAGAAATAGAGCCACCAGATCCCTAATGTTAATCGAAACGTGGCCATAATCTAAACATGGCCATAATCTAAACATGGCCATAATCTAAACATGGCCATAATCTAAACATGGCCATAATCTAAACATGGCCATAATCGAAACATGGCCATAATCTAAACATGGCCATAATCGAAACATGGCCATAATCTAAACATAGCCATAATCGAAACATGGCCATAATCGAAACATGGCCATTATAGAAACATGGCCATTATAGAAACATGGCCATTATCGAAATCATCCAAGCTTCTAAAGGAAATAAATGTCTCTACTACGTTTAAATCATAAATTCGTTCAATAGTTAATGTAGTGAAAATAAGAACAGCTCCCGAAAGCAAAGACAGTGACACATTCATGGAGATGATAAGATACTTCAACACCTCAGAAGACCTCACTCAGACATCAATCATTATCTTTAAGAGTCATTAACCAAGCACTGAGCTCTCTGGGGACAAGCTGTGTTACCTCACAACACTTCTGTATAAACATTAAAGTGTAAAAATTATACATATATACATTCATGTAACTCTAGTGGTTAATATTTGTGTTTTTTTCAATAGTGTATTTGGTTTATTCATTCATCAGTGGATATGGTTATGTATCTTAGTTGTGACTCTACCTAGTTTATTATCTGTGCTTCTTATCTCTCTCTCTCTCTCTCTCTCTCTCTCTCTCTCTCTCTCTGTCAGCAGCTGTATACTCAGTAAAATCGGTTCTGAATTTCCATTGTCCATCTAATTTTCATATTTTTTTAATTTCATCCCATAAAGTAGTTTGTAAATACTAAGTCAGATCATCTTGGAGTAAGTGTTGGTATGAGTTTACTAACATTTTATGTAAAAATGTATAATAAAAGTCGAAATATTTAAGCGTTCTTTATTTCGTCCTCAAGTGAAGATTAAAGTCAATATACTCCTGACCGAAATGATGTGGAAAAGATCATAGTTTTTCTTTATTGTTACACTTACTTTAATAATGCGTATGAGAATGGGTACCATATAGGCATTACTGTGCGTTAGGAAATGTGGGTATACAGCACAATGTTCATTAAGCCTTCTGTACACAAGGAGGCAGCGTTTCCGGCACTCTACTTGACCGTCTTCACTTCCCCACTTGAAAAGGCAGGTACCCATTTACAGCTGGGTGGACTAGAAGTGCCCCCAGATTGAAACAAAAACCCTAAGGAGAGGAGACGAAAGGTGTATTCACTCGGCCACCGCACACACACACACACACACATGCTAA